GACTGATTGCTGAGTTCGGCCGCAAATGTTGACAATTCTGGGTATAGTTTGTGCTATTCTTAAGCCATCACTGCTTAACAACTTATAGTTTGGCTCCAGTATTATGTGTGCATTGGCACCGCCCACACCCCAATTATTTACCCCAGCCAAACCTTTATTAATATTAAACATTTTTTAAAAACGAGATTATATTGTAGTTATATTATTATTAATATGATTAGTTTTTTATTTGAAAGATTTAACTAAACATACAATTATTGATACATTTCTAAAATTCACTGACTCACCAGGCTCATATGGGTATGGCTTTAAAATGGGCAGTATTGGTGGACAGTAAGCTTCAAGCTCATCCTTAAGTTGAGTCATATTAATGTTCGGAGGAATGCATTCATTCTCATAGGATATCAATACTTTTATGATGGACGCCACCCCGGAGCCTGCCTCAGCGTGACCCATGTTACTTTTCAACGCACCAAGGGGCAATGGTGTTTTACGTCCAGGTGCCTTTACGTATGCGTTGTATATTGATTTTACTTCTTCCGGATCGCCTACCTATTGTTAATAAACAATATTAATTATTTTTAATGAAGCAATATTAATTTTAAGCATTGAATATAATATTATAAATGTTTTATAAAAGATTAATGATAATTAGATATTTAGAATGAAAAAGTTATTATAAGGAACATGTTATATTAGTATAATATGAACATATTACTTGTAATCTTAATATTTCATAGAAATCTTTGTCACTACTATTTATTATAAGTTCAAATATAGACCATACACGTCAAAGCAAGCAACATGCTCTATTAGTAATGCTATAAGCATTAAGTCTACGATACACACTGGAGCCATTTGGGGCTACACTATGAGTGACAAAACTTTAAGCATTTTAACATTAATCTCTATACTGACTAATGTTATAATAGTCACTGTTTTTTCACTGTTAATGTGGCCCGGATCACAATGTATGCGCATTGTAGCATTAAGTTGCAAAATTTAGAATGGGAATATGTAGTAATTTCCAATAAATGGAATTTATTCCTTATTAGTACTAGTGGTGAGACTGAATTGTCGATTGTCAGTGTCGGTTACCGATATTTTATTTTCACCGTTGATGTCGGTTGTCGGTCAATAAGGGCTTAAGTCAATAACATGTGATGTATTGTTATATAGTGACTAAGGTCATATAAATGACCATCGCATACAAGAACGTTAAAAGTGAACAGTATTATGTCACAATGTCCAGTTGTCAATATTAATTTTTTCCATAAAATTGTTTATACAATTTACCATCGTTATATGACCCTAATCACTAAATAACAATAAATCACATGTAACTGATTTAAGCCCTTATTGACCGACACCGACCACCAACAATTCAGTCTTTCCAGTACACTAGTAATGGCTGTCAATTTTTGTTAAATCTAAGTTTGTCTCACACAATCACCTTTAATAACAAATTAAACATTTCACCTTAGTTCCAGTCACGTGACCCTCGATATAGGTCAACGTTAAGGGGTCTATGTTGGCCTCCTTGTAAGTCTTCACCATCAGCTCCTCCTGTGCCTCAGCCGACGGGAAGAACATCCCAATAGTCTTATACCCATCGATGTTCATACGGGACGACCTAACCGTGGCCAACAGGCGTCTGGCGTTGGCACTGTGCTGTAAAAGTAGGGCGCATACCGTCTCACCCTTTACGAAACCATCAGCATCCTGGTCAAGTACGGCCGATATACCCCTACTTGATAGTATGCCTAACTCCTGTCCTACTTGTAGTTGAAACGGCTCGAGTGTCATATGAGCGCCACATATTACGGCCTGATCGATGTGACCTAGTTGCAATTTATGTTTGATTATTCATTATATAGTATATGATTTGAAACAAAATGTGGTTTAAATAAATTTACCCTAGATACAATAGTGAAAATTACATGGTAACATTAGACCATTAGTCAATGGGCTAGTATACTTTAAAATTTATTAATAATTTTATAAACTTATTAAAATACTAGCAATACTTTACATTTAAAAACACTTAACACTTAGCTTGTTATAGCATGTTGTGCTTCATATATTATATTAGAAAATTAATGATAAAACTTTTTCACGTTTCAAATGATTTCATTAAAGCATATATTCAAATTAATTACGGTAAATAAAATTATTTGTAAAACTTACCTAGTTTCATATCGTTCATAGCCAGACAAAAGGCAGTGCCACTACCAGAGCAGGCGGTGTCCACTATCATCGACGGGCCCTTGAAGTCAAACACAAACGATATTCTGCTCGAGTAAAATGTTTTCAAATTGTACAGGGTCAAGAACTGCGACTGTAAACTTTTGCGTATATCCGGCTGTAGATACTCGGGATAGCCATCTGTCATCGGGTACATGGATACGGCAACATACACGCCCGTTTGGCTACCACGTAGCGATTGTGGATCTATACCTGATGAATAATTAATGTTCTAGGTAAATATTTTCTTTTCCAATTGATATTTGCCAGTTATTTAGCATATTAATGGCAAGTACACTTATGATTGCAAACTAGAAGTGACATTACATTTATGATTATATTTATCGCAACACTAGTCTAACTTTTTTTAATAAATTTATGTATGACTAAAAATTTAATTAAACAATGTTAATGATAAACAGATTTGTAATCAATTAAATGAATGAGGGAGGGTTGTTTTAAATATAATTTTTAAAAGTGCATTAATATTCTCCAACATGGTTAGCAACTAATTTTGAAAATTTTGGTAAATTTCTAAAATGACATCCATAAATTACATACGCATATATTTTAATATTAACTAATCCCCTACGATCCCATTGTACAAGGGAATTTAACATTATGATATTCGTTTAAATTAAAGATTATAATAACTAGGTCTAAAAATTAATCACAAATCATAAAACATAAATTATAAAACCATGACAAACTAGCATCTTCTTATAATGTTATAAAATCAATAAATAATGTATTAATAAATTTTTAATATTTGCTTAAAAGTTATAAATTATAGCAATAAATTGAGTAAATATTTTTACATCCAATTCTAGATTTACTATTTACTTTCAAGTAGCACAGTGCTAATATTAAACTAGAATTAAAATGTTTTTAAAAATAATCGGGTACCTGGTTTACTAATAAAATAAATATTAATATACCCGCGTCCACGATAGCTTCGTAGGTGACTTCCAGTAGCATACGGGCCATGGGGTCAAACCCCTCCACCATTTGCTCCATTACCCCGAAAAATGTCGAGTCAAACAGACCATAGTTTACTAATCGACCCATACGTGGGTTCATGTCCAACAAGTCTATATTAGACGCAACAAGAAGTATATATTAATAATAATTTAAATTAATATATGGATCACACCGTGCAGAATAAGCCTTAAAAGCAAACAGCATGTACTGTATACAATGTTATTATATGGGCTAGTGCTATGATTACAGCTTGAAATGTATACACTTAAGGATTATTCAACAACTAGAAGTCCATATATTCTATTTAGTTTATTTTACAATTAAATAATACAATTTAGTAACATTTAAATATAATAATGAACTATCAGCATAGTTTAAACACAATATGACATTTTTTTTATATTGCTAGGAATATATTTAATCATATGGTGAAACTAACATGTTATGGTTTCAGCGTATTATAAAATAACTGATTTTTATGTTACCGGGTGGCCATCGACTGTCATCGGCGGTCACCATATCTATGCCGTCGAACAGATTGCGTGCGAACTCGTCGGTGGTGTCCGACAGTGGGAACCGACCGGACATACCGCTGATCACCACATCGTTTGTCGACATATCTTGCGATTAAATGCTGTAATGGATAAATTTAGTAGCAATTAATAGTTTAAAATATATTTAACAATTCATTTAATTTAGGTAAATAGCAAGTGCTCACTGATAAGGCTTTATTATTGATAAATGTTATTGAACATTTAACACATCAGTTGTATTATATAATAAGCTTATAACTAAATCGATAGGTTTATATAAATTAATAAATATGCAGATAATTTAACTCATCATTTTGTTTTCAAAATATTGAAATTGTAAAAAATGTTTATATTAAATAATTCTATAAATTTTTAATAGCATAACAACAATAATAGTATATATATAATAATCTATTTATACTATCCTATGTACATAATACAGTAGTTATTATTATTTTGAATACTTTTATAAACTGCTAATTAATTGATTGTAATTCAGATAGATTTAATCCGATGGCATTCAACATATTACAAGACTTTCAAGATTGTTGTTACAAAAATGTAAAAGTGTGGTGTTCAGTACATTGTGTACACGTAAACAGTACATACAGTACAGTTTATAGTTTATTGTTTGAAAATATTTAAATTTAACATCATATTTCATATTTTAGCAATTAATATTAGCTTATATTTTTTTCAGATACAATATATAATAAAATAAGTTTGGACAAAAGTGTAATTTTGGAAAATTCTGTTATATCTACGTGATTTATGGATATAAAAATTTATGAACCTTATTTTTGGATTTAAAATTCAAAGGGTAATCATTTAAATATATTTTAATCAATAAATAAAATACCTTGGTGCTTATTAGGACAAGTCTTTTAACAATAATAAATCTATCTATAAATAGATTTTTCCTTGTAAATTGAATTAAATAAACAGTCAACAACTACAATTTTAAATGCATCACAGTATAGCTAAATAATATTTTGATACTATGCTAATTAATGTTTGAATTCTTAGAAATTGTTATTTAAAATTATACTAGATTAGATTAACACATTTTCTAGGAAACCTAAAAATGCAATTAATATTATTTTGGCTTAATATATTTAAATCTATATTTTATATCTAGAAAAGTTATATAAACTCAAAATTTTTCTATAGTTAATGCATTTGTTAATAAATCTTTTATTACTAAAATAAGGCTAATTATATAGCCTGGAAACATCTCGATAACTATTATATTATTTGCCTTACTGTGTAGTAGATACATTTATGTAAATAGGTTAACATAACATTTTAATTTGCCATTATAAAATGCACTTCTTAAAGAAATACCGTAATACAAACATACAATTATGGGAAACTAAAAGTTGATCCATAAAATAACTTCTAGTACCTAGGATCAAATTTTTAGATTTTCTTAATTACCCATTTATATTCTCTCCATAATAATGTTATAAATAATTAACACTGATACTAAATTACGGATAATAAAGTTATTTTTCGAATGCATTAATTTAATAAAAATTTCTTTAACTTCCCTTATGATCACCTAGGGCATCGGCAATAATGGCACGGAGTGATAGCCCACAAAATGTGTATTCATACGATTTAGACGATGAGCAGTACAAAAACGTTATGAATGAGTGGAACTGCTACGAGCACCTGGTCTGGGTCAATATAGTCTACTATTTGGCTTTACACATTATGGCTTTATATGGTTTCTACCTGTGCTTTACCGATGCATCATGGTACACCGTACTATTCGGTTCGTATATGTTATTTTCTTAGACAAATTATATAGTATGATGCAAAGTTGCAAAACCTCTTTATCACTGAATACAAATATTTAAATACAAATTATAAACTTATATCACCTAGCGTACATTTCTATTAATACACTACCTATAGTTCATAATAAATAGTATTTTTATTCAGAGATAAAGCTTTCATATCCAGTATTTAATGTAATTTTAATCGAATATTACTCATATAAGTTTCTACTCACTATTTATAGCTATATTTCTATACAACGCGTCCATATTTGGTATCACAGCTGGAGTACACCGCCTATGGGCTCACCGGACATACAAAGCTAACCTCCCGTTTCGTATAATTCTTATTACATTAGAAACAATCGCTTATCAAAACTCGGTTTACGAGTGGGTGCGCGACCACCGGGTTCACCACAAACACACCGAGTCAGATGCTGACCCTGTTAACTCAAACCGGGGGCTATTTTTCGCGCACTGCGGTTGGCTTATGTGCCAAAAGCACCCGGAGGTCAGTCGGTTAGGCCACAAAATTGACCTGTCCGATTTGCTGACTGACCAAGTGGTTATGTTTCAAAAGAGGCATTATGTTAAATTAGTTATTGCCCTATGTGTTGTAATGCCTACAATAGTACCATGGAGGGTTTGGAGTGAAAACATGTGGACAGCCTTTTTCGTATGTGTTACGTTCCGATACGTATGGGGTCTGAATGCGGCCTGGCTGGTCAACTCGGCCGCACATAGATTTGGGTACCGACCTTACGATGTGAATATTGAACCGGCAGATAATTTAGGTGTTTCCGTGTTTACGTTAGGTATGTACTGTATGTAGGATTAACAATAATTTATTTTAAAATTTTTTTGTTTGTTTATGACTTAAAATTTGTTAAAGTTTTAGATTGATCAATATCTAATTACTCAATAATTTCAAAATACACAAAAATCTAATTTAAATTGTGCAATGATAATCTTTAAAACGCAATAAAGGGGAAATATTTATACATGTTAATTGAAATGCTTAATTTATTTATAAATAATACAGTAATATTATTTTAATAGGTGAGGGATATCATAACTATCACCATGCGTTTCCAAAAGACTACCGGGGTAATGAAATGGACTGGTTCGTTAATTGGACAACATTTGTATTGGATTTATTGGCACAAATTGGTTGGGTATACGATCGTAATGTTGTGTCCAAGGAGGCTGTCTATGCTCGTAAATCTAGGACTGGACCTGGTGCTAATGAATACACGGGAGATAAAGTTGGAGAATATTAAAACTGTCAACATAAATGACATTTCTATGCAATGTTTAAAAATGCAACTGTATTAGATTGATCTAACAATAATATTTTTAACTTGTTATATTGTAACACGTGTTAGGTGCGTGAAATTTAAGTGTTATTTTTTAACCACCCTTAAATGAACTTTATTAAAAATTTATGAATGCAATCATTTATTTACTAATTCCAAACTTTTTGTATAATAAATTTACAAATATTTATTCGTGAATCTAACCACAAAGGATATGAATATAATGAATATTTCAATCAATTATTTCAATAAATATTATATTTTTAATTTACTTAAATATGACAAAGTATTTTTGAAACTAATTATATTAGTAAATTAATAGTTAATTAATTATTGGTTGACTTAAGTGTTGTAAATAGGACAATACGAAAAGTTATTTATGCTTTTCTAATAAATAAAATTCTTACACTTTGCATGTAACATAGCATTATGGTGAAATAAACTATTGATACTTTAAATTTCTAATATATGAGAAATGGAAAATAAGCAACTTGATAGGTTTATACAGTTATAAAAATAAATATATCTAAATTGAAAAGTGTAAATAATATCATTTATTTGGAAATAGATGTGTAAGTTTGTAAAAAATGTTTAAATTAAAAATTTCAAAGAATTAAACGTAACGTCTATAGATAACTTATTGTTGACTACTTATTTTTAGAATAGTACCATGTACATAGTGCAGTAGTTTTGAGATAATATCAATTTATTTCAATATGTTTCTAAACATATAAACATATTTATATTAATTGATTGCAATTCAGATAGATTTAAACTGATGACTTTCTAGATTGTTGTAAGAATAATATTACTGTGTAGTCAGAGTGACCAACTATGATTTTTCAAATAGTGTACAAATATCAAAAGTAGTTGATAAAATATTGTACAAATATTGTACACCAATTCTTAATGTGGATTTGAATTAAAATATTTTTATGAATTGATTTCTTGAATATAAAATTTATAATAATATTTTAATCCTAAATAAATTTAATTTAAAATGTAACTCTGATTAAACTACATTACTTTTATTTATTAAATATATTATTATGTAAACTTTCAACAAGTTGAATTGGTTTTACGTGCATCTATTGGTATTAAATTTATAATAAAAAAATTAAAAAAAACATTTCCTTTCACTATAATGTATATCACTTTATTTTTAAATAGTGGACATCCAATGTATGGAAATTTTTAATATATTAAATGAATTTAAAAGTTTATTCATTTTGTCTAAACTTTTGTCATAAATATAACATCGTATATATAATATTTTTTAAAAATATATAACAAATATTTAACGTTCATTATAGCTAAGGTACACTATTTTTTAACACTATATTATATACAATACAATGTATTAAAAAACTTTAATACAGTAGTGTATATTTTGTTTAGTGATATTATTCTATGAAAGGTTTACAGTTTGCATATAATTTTGCTCAATCGATATGTATTTTTATATATTGTCACAAATAGTGTAATTCAATGTGCACAATTTACTCCTTAAAACACAGTGTACTGTACACCCCAATAGTGTATAGTTGGTCAGTCTGTGTGTAGTAGACATGTGATTACTATAGAGTGAATAATTAATATTGTTACAAATTTGTTTTTAAATATCTAAATTTAGCATTATGTTTTTATATTTTATTTATTATATTAAGTTTAAAAATTGTAATAAATTGAAATTTTTAATAAGGTATAAACAAAATGAAGGTCAAGCTTCCTTAGAAATATTAAATATGCAGTAAAAAATAACTTTTTAATAACAAACTAAAAGCTAGTGTATAACGAATATTTATTAATTTTTTTAAATCTTGTACTTGCAAGTATTTTGGATTATTTTGGCACTAGTACGTTTATGATGATCCAGGATTACATAGGCTATTCTGGATTTTATTACAAAATTTAGCTATTTCCTAAAAAAATTTAATTAAATAAAATTAAACAAAATACTCATTTTATAAGCATCATGATTTAGTTAAATAGTTTTTAATTATAATATTTCGAAATAATGTTATTTAGTGTTTGAATTCTCGGAAATTGTTATTTAAAATTATATTAGATTAGATTGACACATTTTCTAGTCAACAACGCAATTAATATTATTTTAGTTTAATATATTCAAATCATTATTTTATATCTAGAAAAGTTATATAAACTCAGTATTTCGTTATATTGACTACATAGTGCCAATAATAATAACGTGGTAACATATTTAGCCAAATTAAACATTAAAGTATTCTATTATTAGCTTTAGTAAATTGTGTAAGTACCATTATGTTAACCTAGTTACACAAATATAGCAGAATATTGTATTAGTAATAAAATATAAATTTATAATAAAAATGCAAAACTTTCAAGATAATTAAACCACTAATTATGCGGATACGAAAATTTGATTGATACAATAAATTCTAGTACCTAGGATCAAATTTTTGTATTTCCATAATTACGCATTTATATTCTATGCATATTAATGTTATAAATAATTAACAATTTTTAATGAACTGTATTTAGTATAATTGTTATTTTTGTGAATAAATAAATTAATAAAATTTTTAAAAATACACCTAGATCACCAAGTCATCACCACTAATGGGACGGCACCGTAGCTCACGAAATGTCGTGTATTCGTACGATTTGAATGATAAAAATTATGCTAACATTGTGAATGAGTGGAACTGCTACGAGCACCTGTACTGGGACAATATAGTCTACTTTGTGTCGTTGCACCTTATGGCTGTGTATGGTTTCTACCTATGCTTTACCGATGCATCATGGTACACCGTACTATTCGGTTCGTATATGACATTTCATTATATATCTATAACAGTCAACAGTGGATAGACTTTGTTTAAAATATTCCTGTTAAGCATTCAATTGAGTCACAACATTCATAAACATACTATGTCCTTTCTTATCCAACATTAAACTTGAACAATTATTTATTAAAATTTCTTATAAGTTTTATATTAGAAAATTATATTTAATTAACGTTAAAATTATTTTAAACAATACAAGCATGTAGTGAATTTTAAAAATCAACTATATAGTGATGTATGACATTGCTAAACTTATTACTTATTTACAACACTGGTATTATATGTTTTAAGATTCTTGTAATTGAATTACCGTAGTATCATTTTTCAAGGGTTTTTAATAAAGGCTATCTTTAATATATTTTATTAACTTTAAAATACTAGTGTTGTATATACATTACGTAAATAGTAATTTCTGGAAACAATTTTGAGCTTCTATGCTCTGATATATAATCAATTTAAATTTACAAATAAATTGTCCACGCACATTTTAGCTATATTTCTATACAACGCGTCCATATTTGGCATCACCGCTGGAGTGCACCGACTGTGGGCTCACCGGACATACAAAGCTAACCTCCCGTTTCGTATAATTCTTATTACATTAGAAACAATCGCTTATCAAAACTCGGTTTACGAGTGGGTGCGCGACCACCGGGTGCACCACAAGTACACCGAGACTGACGCCGACCCCCTTAACTCAAACCGGGGCTTCTTTTTCGCGCACTGCGGTTGGCTTATGTGCCAAAAGCACCCGGAGGTCAGTCGGTTAGGCCTCAAAATTGATCTGTCCGATTTGCTTGCCGACCCATTGGTTATGTTTCAAAAACGAAATTATGGTGAATTAGTTATAGCCCTATGCATCGTAATGCCTACGATAGTACCAAATTGGTTTTGGGGTGAGAGCGTGTGGACAGCCTTTTTCGTGTGCGTAATGTTCCGTTACGTATGGGCCCTGAATGGGAGCTGGCTGGTCAACTCGGCCGCACATAAATTTGGTTATAAGCCATACGATGTGAATATCGCACCGGCAAATAACGTTGGTGTATCCGTGTTTACTTTAGGTTAGTATAAATATAATATGTGTTTGTAGAAAGCAAATTGAGGTTTATATATAGGCTAAAAATATATTATACTTTACTCTAAAGCAATGACAAATATTTAAATTT